AGGTATAGTTAGAGACTTATTAGAGGCAGAAACAAGAGTTAGGAGGGGTAGAGGTAGACCTAGATTAGATTACTCTTCTCAAATGGTTAAGGATGTGGTTTATTCTAGTTTTAGGGAAATGCGAGGTTTAGCTCAGGATAGGAGGTATGTGTCAAATCAGTCTTAGGACTGACGACCTTAGGATGATGATAATGATGAAATTCAAACAATCCATTGAGAGATACATTATTTATTAACGAAAGGTATAAGTAGGATAAAGTTTCAAGAGAGTATTTGTGAATTAGGTTTGTCTTGTGTAGAAAATGACCATTACCAGAGGATGTTGAAATTAGAGTTAATGATGACTTTGTGTTGTAATCATAGATATAGATAATATTATCAAACACCTTCTCCCACTATTACTAAATTTATTTAATTATTTACTCTATTCAACGCCACTTTGTTCAATTTTTATGTATTTTAGTACTATATCGCACAATTTGTTGCTTCATGTCGCTTTTTCTAGTTCGCATTGTATCGCCTCGTAACTAGAACATGTATCACTAATAATTATTTCGACCTCGCAGCAATTATCAATAGGGCTGGCCACGTTCTTCTTTGTCACTATGCATAGTGAATTATTTACATACATGTGACATTGCCCCTTCCCTCCTAAAACTGATCGTCACAATTAGTGATGTCGCCTCTGCAGGGAGCAAGTCGGTCAAGACGGATGATCTCCATTTTTACTCGTTTTAAGTCATTGATGCGTTGAGTAACGGTGTATGAGCAATCCTAAGCTTGTTGTAGTTTCGGGCAACATCCCTTCTACCTTGATGGATTGTATAGTCATACTTTGTTGCTCTCATTATTCCAAGTAGAATGGGGTCAATTTCAACTCACGCAGAACATTATGGACGGCTTGTAGTCGTTCTTGTAGTTCACCCGCGTAATCGCCTGTAGAAGCTGGAAAGTCTCCCGGACGGCTGAACATCATATCCGCTGGCAACCTGAGTTCTTTGCCACATAAAATGGTGGCCGGTTTTCTTCCAGTTGTCTCATGGATGACGGATCTATAGTCTAAGAGGAATAGGGGTATGCGTTGGTCCGAGTCAGTTTGGTGGTCATTGACAATGGAAATGGTTCTGCCACGTCTTCGATTCCATATTTACCGTGACTTGGCAGTCAATAAAATCGCACCTTCCTTAGAGTCTTCGTAACGCCTAAGGCCTAAGTGTCCTTCACCATAGATTCCTTCTAATACTTCTAGAGTTCTTTTTTTTTTTGGAAGTGCCCACTACATGGAGTTTGTTTCTGGACTCTTCCACAGTCTTTTCAAAATATCACGATCCAAGGTAAATGATATCCACTGGGCCGAATAACTTTTCGTAAACTGGCTTAGGTGGCTCACATTTGCCCATGATGGTTTTAAAGTTCCGGATTCTTTCCATTTCATTATTAGGTCAATATCTTCGTATTTCCTCTGATCGTTGATTAATTCCTTATCTTCGCAGGATCCCTCAGGTTGAACGGTAGTTTAATTATAATAGATTGATGTCAGTTCTTACTTCTTCTCCACCGATAAATAATGCTGGCAGTTTCTTACGCAAGGTTTCCGGGATGGCACGTTTGCGTTGCCGTGTTGGTCGATGTCAGTGATCGATGATAGTACTCTTGAAGTATTTGAATTTGTCCTCCCGAAGTATTTGAATTTGTCCTTCCGGGTTCTTACATTTCAATAGTCACTTCAGGAGGCGTGATCCTTTCTTAAGAAGAACTTCCGTCCATGCAGGTACATGTATAATTTTGAGGACTGCAGCTGGTAGCTTTTCTTTCTCGTTTCAAGAGTGTTTTACTAAAATACCCTATGACCTTGTTCTTTCCATCAATGTACTTGGGATAACACACTATTAAGTTGCACATTACTATCGTCGGTATCAAGAATGAAGGGTTCACGGAACTGTGGACATGTCAAAACTGCGGCTCCAGAGAGTGTAAGTTGTCAAATGCTTTTTGGATAGAAATTAATTAATAATAGCGGTGTTAAATAAAGAGTAAATAGTTAAATAAATTTAGTAATGGTACGAGAAGGTGTCTGATTACGTCACATTTGGTGTCAGATGTGCTATACAAAAGGATTGAAGAAGGAGAAGGATTTTGAAGAATTCCATCGAATATTCTAGAACGTTTCATTGGCCAATGTACTGGAAAATTCTACTGATCGCGAATAACCCTAACAAACCACACATCTTTAGAAAGTTCTCGAAGAGCGAAGAAAGAATCTGATGTCATTCAGGAATTTCTGGAAATTTCCATTGGCTGCAATAAACCCTAACAAGTCATACATCGTTAGAAGAAACAAGAACGAATTTGACGACATCCACAAATTCCATCTAATTTTGTAGAAGTTTCCACGCATTGTGAATAAACGTTACAAGCCGTAGTTCATTGGAAATCTTGAGAAGAAATATTTTGCCAAAATCGAAGAATTTCATAGAAATTTCTAGAAAAAATCTAAATATATCATGCCAGTTACAACGAGAGGTACCTAAGCAAAAATGGAGGAGCAAATAAAAGCTTAAAAGGCAACAATGACAGAATGAAAGGCAGGCATCAAAACTCGATGAAAAGAAATGAAATAGAAAATGGAACAAGGACAAGAAGAAATGAAACTGGGACAAGAAGGAATGAAACAAAAAAGTGGAAGCAGTACAAGATGACATGAAAGTGGGACGAGAAGAATTAAAAGCAGCTTAAGAAGAGATGAATGAAGAATTGAAAGCAACTCAAGGAGAAATGAAAGAAGAATTAAAAGCATCTCAAGAAGAAATGAAAGGAAAATTGAAAGCAGCTTAAGAAGAAATAAAACATAAAATGGAAACAGTATAGAAAGCAATAAATATAGGAAAGGAGGAAAAGATAAATGATATTAGAAATAATAAGGAAAAGAAGCTGGAAGAAAGGGAAATCAAGCTGAAAAAGAAGATAGAAGAAATGGAGAAGAAATAACAAAAAATATGATAGAAGAAACAAGAAAAGAAATTGAGAAGGTGAAACTACCCACTGCTGCGAGAGCAGACGGTTCGAGTGTAAGACCATCAAAAATTACTCCTACATCCTTCAATGAGAAGATCTCGTAATCCGTTTACCTGAAGCAGTTTGGAGTAGCGTTAGAGACAAACGCATGGACTGTCTCACATTATGACTTTTACCATCTTGTCAACCACTTAGAAATGATATAAATAAGTACATCAGATGTAATTGAAAAGCTGTAATCGGCGAAGTAGGTAACGAAACTTCAGCAATTTAAGTTCAATGTGGAGCGCCTTGTAAAAGTAGTCTATCCCTCTTGCTCTCAAGAATTCATAGATCAACAGGCGGTACAAATATTTATCGATGGAGCTAGGGATAGTGAACTACAACAAGCCCTCAGATGAGCACGCTACAAGACTCCAAATGAAACACTGTCCCATGTCTTGAATTTGAAGAGGTGAAACAAGCTTCCGAGAGTTATGCATGGGTGCGACAAGCAGAAATTAATGATGGTACAATTACAAAAGAAGATGTTATGTCGCTCATCAGAGATTGCGTAATTGATGTCAAGAAATCCACTATTAGAAATTCAAATGTTAGGAATTTTGAAGAACTGGTCATTTTGCTGGAGGCTACAAGAACTACAGTGGTTGTACGAAACGCTGGAATTATGGAAGAATGGATCACCTCAGTCGTGTTTGCTCCGCAAACAAAACACAGCAGTCAGCAAACTAAGGTAAGCCAACTTTATGAAGCGCAAGTTGACTTATCTCGGAGAAGTCATCATTTCATGATTTAACAGAACTAACTTATTATTCAAAGAATATAAACCAACATAATGTTAGAATATTTATCGACACATGAGCATCCAACACCATCTCTCGATTTGATGTGGTATGGGAATGGCGAATTCGACCGGAGAAACTTCATCAGTCAATGGAGAATGTAACATCAATTTCTTTCTTCACTCATTTAAAACTTTCTAACGATGTGTGGTTTGTTAGGGTTATTCGCGATCGGTAGAAATTTCCAGTAAATTGGCTGAAGAACGTTTCAGAATATTCCATGGAATTCTTCAAAATTCTTCTCCTTCTTCAAACCTTTTCTACCAGATACCTGACACCAAATATCACGTAATAAATCTTCTCGCACCATTACTGAATTTATTTAACTATTTACTCTTTATTCAACACCACTATTATTACTTAATTTATTTTTATTTTAGTCTAAATCGCACACTTTCTTGCTTCTTCGCTCTTTGTAGTTCACCTTGTATCCTAGTAACTCAGGATCGGTTTTTTTTACAAAGATCCAAAGTGTGACGTCTAGAAAATCTGGTCTTCTTTGTCACTTTGTGTGTTGGGTTACCTACACGTGACACTGTATGTTGGGTGATAATATATAAGGAGAAAAAGAGATAATTTATAACAGGAATAAAGAAAATAGTCTGTGGTCAAGATAGAGGTTAAGAAAATGTAGGAAAAGAAATGTATAAGAGAAAAAGTATGCTTCTTCTTTCCAGTTGTTTTGTTTTTGAGTTCTTAATTTTTGTTGTTGCTGCAAATAATTACATTGAAGGAGACAAGACTATTGCATTCTTGAAACAAAACCTATTAGTAGTTGATGAAAATAATCCCCTATAATCAATTTGGTAATCAAGTAATCATCAACTACCAATAAGCAAGGACCTATATTCTTCTGTTTTTTGGGAAATTTGAAATGTACCTAGCTGCAATCATCTGTGAGTAAAACATCATTTCAACGTAGATTTTACATTTTGGGTTTTGTTTGTGGGCTATGTCAAGGTCTTGAGTGAAAGTTACCTGTTTTCGTATTTGTGTACTTACAACAGCAGATATTGAGATAAATCGATATTTTTTTTATTTCCCTACAATATTTGTTACTTTAGACTAGATTAGGTTCATTGTAGATTTCGTTACATCTTGCTCACAATCAGTTCAATATTGTTGAATTTTTATACTTTATAGCTCAGGCTGAATCCTATGAAGTACCAACTATCTCCAGATCATCGGTTTCTTCTCTTAGCTCAAAATGTTCAGAAGATATACCGACACTCTTTTCGTGCTCAGTACACCGTATATGAAATAGAATCAAGGTAAGAAAATGTTAGATTTCCGATAGTAATAAAATGAACCAATAACCAATTTCATTGTAAAACGGGTAGTGTCAAGTAATTATCAGTTTCAATAAAATTTGATTGGAGTTTAATTCTGTCACAGGATAGATACATATTTTCTATCCCTTAGTTGTTTTTTTATTAAATACAGAATTATACTGTCATATACAATACAGTTTGTAGATTTTTTCCTTACTACCGAGCGGCATAGCCTCGACCAGGGCTTCTTAAACTTTTTTCATTTACGACCCTATTTATGATAGCTAGTTTCCTGGCGNAAAGGGGTGGAGTGGGGGGGTCAAAAGAGGAGGTAACCCCCACCACTGTACCTGAAAAAGTTCGTGGCAGTCTGACCCCCATAAAAAGTTATGGGGGTTCAAAGTTAATAAATATGCCAATTTTTATACATTTCTAGGCATGTAAATAAAAACTAATGAAAAATACATAAAAATATTGAGAAAGTTATATAAAACATTATTTAAATATCTTTATCAATAGGGTAGTTTAGGTTAGGTTATCGGGTCTTGTACAAGTGACCACCCTCTTTCGATCCCCCACTTCCACCTGCTTGAAAATAATTATCATCTAGACCAGGGCTTCTTAAACTTTTTTCATTCACGACCCCATTTATGATAGCTAGTTTCCTGGCGATCCCATATAAATATAAAGGATAAACAAATATTTTTTGATGGTTTATTTATTAAGTAACAATATACATTAAAATCTTTCGCGACCCCAGAATTTTGCTATGCGACCCCATTTGGGGTCGCGACCCATAGTTTAAGAAGAACTGGCCTAGACCATTGCTTAGCATTCGGGAGGACGACGGTTCGATTACGGGCCCGTCTGCCTCGGTTCAAGTTTTTCTATGGTGAATCTTCCGCCCTACCTAGTCCGGAGTGACTGCCCACCTATGCCCAGCATTAGTGGCTGGTGGGAATGAAACACCCAAAGGTTTTTTGTTTTTTCCTTATTACATTATTAATGCCTATGGATTAAAATTATGATTTCTACTTTCAGTTGCGTTAGATTCTGGATGATAATTCGGGATGAAAAACGTATTGTCTTAATTAACTCTGAAATACTAACCATACATTTCACTAGCGTAAACACTAATCTAAATCAACAAAAAAAAACAAAAAGCAAATAATGAAAATAAATTCAAAGCACCGCTGCTATTCTGCATTTTTTGAGGGACATATGTATATGTTGTGAGTTTTTATAAAGGAAATTCCTATTGGTTATTTCAGGAAAATAACGTGAATATTAGTAATCGTAAGCTTTAGCTAATGTTATAAAGTTGGTACTTCTAAACCATGACCTTATGAGTTGCTCATGAAGTTGGTTGCTGAATTCATTCCTTGTTATAGATATATCATTTTCTTTTTGTAAATTATTATTACAAATAACATAAGAGTTTATATACGGCATGCTGATAGTTTCATAGAATATACATAGCGGTCATCTTCTGGTCTGCTGAGAACAACTACGGTTCCCATATATCTGATTGGAGGCGTCCATCCCTTCGTTCGTATCTTTACAGTGTAATATAACTTCTGTTTGTTTTTTTGGATTTCCCACATATGACAGATCCTTCAAACATAGTAGATAAGAGAAGAACGCTCTTATTTTTCTTGGTTTTGTATGATACCACAGACTTCTCTTTGTCGAAATAAAATGCTGAGCTTCCAACTTCTCTGTTGTTCAAGTCCAGTAGTTCAGGAGGAATTTCACGTTTATTCTGTACCTATCACTGTTAGAATGTAAGGTTCTTTCTATAGTTCGTCTGCTAATGTTACTGATGTGAACCAATTATCCATAAAATTTAACAAATAATATTTCCTGTGTTAAGTGTGTTATTGACTGATAATACATTCACCCACAAAATAACTGGAGAAATGTTTTTGAATGTTATTTAATTTTTCTTTTTATAGAATTCACTTGGCTTTATAATTACTCTTTTCATTTTCATACGAAAATAATACTTGTACAGTGTAAATATTGCAAAATAGAATATGAAAAATGGAAGGCAAATATTTTTCTCGAGACAGTAGACACTTAAGCAACCCAACGTATTTTTCTTGAGTCCTGTGTCATAAAATCAAAAATCTAGCGATTGGAGTTACCTACACCCCCCGTGTGAATGTTATGGGATTTCTTGGTTCTTAACCGACAATAATTATTTTTCTATTGGATAGGCTATATCTTAAAGGGCGTTTCTTTTTTTAATTTTAAGAATATATTCTGCTTCTAAAGGTAGAAAATTAGGAGTAATAAAATAAGTTTGTATATTTGTCCAACGACTTTTAGGACTGACGACCTCATGATAATTGTATAAGCAATGAATTGAAGTCGGTCTTTATACGTCTATATTTAATTGCATTCAAATAACTTCAGTATGTGTAGATCTAATGTATTTATTTGCTTAGGTAAATAGCTTAGTAACAATGGGTAAAAGAGATCTTCAGGTACTACGGATGTACCATGCGTATCATTTCAGTACATGAAACTATATTCTTTCTTATTTCTAATCAGTAACAGTTATCCTGTTCGGCCGTATCCTCACAGTGCAGATCACCCTTTTCTCCTATATGCAACTTGGACACCACGTGGTCACAGTTTGGTAATGGTATACAACTACGATATTTATTATCGGCCAGCACCAACTTCACACAACGCGTACCGAATAACCAAAAATGCAGTTCCAGGAATTCTTAGTAACGGTATACCGGACTGGTTATACGAAGGTAGGTTTATTTCTGTCGTACAAAAAACTCAATTCGTTCAATATTTTTTGAATAAAAAACATCGCCACAAACTTCAGAAATATTTGTTTAAAAAAAGTACAGCTTTAGGTACACTTTAACCACTAAGTAAAGAAGTAGTTATTTTCAGTGCAATAAGTACAATATTGTATGTATTATGCAGACCAGTTAATGACTAAAATGACGTCTGTATTGTTTTTAAATAAATATTTGTGATGATTCTTTTTACATAAGTGTATCTTCACAGTCACTCAAGTTTTAAAATAAAGGAATAAGTTCAGATCGTTTACCTTTAGAAATAGTATTGAAAGAAGAGTCGAGGAAGTGGAAATGAATGGGTATGAATGTAAAGAAGTGAACGACTGGTCAAAAAGTGTTGTGAAGGAATATAGAGAGAAAGACAATAAAAGAAAAAGTTGAAAAGGTGGCAAACTGGAGGTACATGAAAGAGATAATGAAGGAATGTATGATAATGAAAGAAGGTAAAGGTGGGTGTAAGAGGTGTGAAACATGGTGGTATGAAAAATGTTGAAAGAGAAAAATATAGTAGGAGTTTTGTAAAAGAAAAAGATACAAAGCAAAACATATAGTGAACAGATAATAGCAGGATTCAAAGAAGCAAAGAGCACAAATGACTTTTGGAGGATAGGGAACTTATATGAAAAAAGACTTTGACTATAAGAGATAAATTTAGCGATCAAGAATGGTTAGGATATTTTAAAAAAACTTTGGGAGAACAGGTGAAAGGTTTGTAAAAGAATATAAAATAGGGATTATTAATGATAGAGAAAGAGGTGAAGACAACATAAAAATGGACAAAATGGGAAAAGTCATAAAAGATATAAAGGCATTGTCAAAAAGTAATTCTGTGGGACAAGAAGGAATGCTAGGAGAGACGTGGTTAAAGAGGATACAGATCACTATTCAGACAACTACAAATGTGAAACTCAACTCTTTTCAGTGTTATGCCTATCTGGTCAGCAGTGAATAATGTGGATTATTGAGGTGGGCGTTAGGTCCATGTTCGTTAAATTTAAATGATGCTCAACATTTAATTTCCTCAATTAAAAATGTATTCGACATCACTTTAATTATTAAATTAAAATTATATTTGGCAACATTAATTAAAATTATATGCGATTATTTTCTTTTTTGAATCAGAATTTTATTCGACATCATTATTTTTCTTTTAATTAAACTTATATTCGTTCGTATTTTTAAGTTCTTATCAAAATATAATCACAGCCAAAAGTTATTCAAAGTTTTGCCTTATGTTATCGAACTTTCTCAAGACTACAAAGTAAATAAAAGATATTAGTATTTTTATTAGGCAAACCATGAAGTAGAAAAGGCCTGAAATGAACAATGAACAATAGGCGAGATAGTTTGTTGAGACACCTTCTCAAGCATGAAGAGCTAGGTAGAGACATATTATAAGCAGCAACAGGAGTTAAGGGGAGTATAGATAGACCTAGATTAGATTACTGTTCACAAATAGTTAAGGGTGTTGGATGTCCTAGTTTAAAAAATGCGAAGATTCACTCAGGATAGGAAAAAGTGGACGTGCATGTTCAACCAGTCTTAGGACTGACGACTAAGGTCAGAATATTTTGGAAATTTTAAATGTGCATTATCTCTCATATTTAAAATTATTTCTTCCAAACTTAAAGTCGCCGGCGAATTTCTGTTTTTGATTTTCAAACTAACATTTGACATACAGTGCAAAACTAACAAACATGTCATTTATACGGCAACATTCATTAGAATTGTATTATCGTTAATGTGCTTGCATGAGTATTCACTCATATGGGGCAAAAGTATGAAGAAGTATACAAAATCATAATTTCAACAATCGACATACATACATGTAACTATTCTTTAATTCTCATCAACTTTTCTTTCTAAAGGCTTCTGCCAATTTTCAAATTTCATAATTTGTGCCAAAAGTTGTATATTTTTTTCGTTTGGTAAAATCAGAGGAAATACTGGGTACAAATAACGCTATATGGATGTCAAAGGACGGACATATGATGGTTTTTGGATCGTTTAACGATAGTCTGGTCCAAGAAGTTAAATTTCCTTGGTATGGTTCTGTTGATGAAAACCATCTTTACCCAACGATCCGTTCACTGAGATACCCAAAACCTGGAACCAAGAATCCTGAAGTTATCCTTACAGTAGCCGATTTAGCTGATCCATCTAATATAAGAATGAAGGAAGTTAAGCCTCCTAAAGAAATTGCTCACTCGTAAGCCATTTTAAGTTAAATACTAATTCGTTTTTTCAATTAATAGATATATTTATTTGATTTTATTTGGTATTTAATTTCAGAGATTATTACTTTACTGCAGTTTCTTGGGTGACGTTAACTGAAATTTGCGTGGTTTGGTTAAATCGCCCTCAAAATATGTCCATAGTTTCGATTTGCAAAACACCAACGTGGATTTGTCACGAGGTAAGTCTTTGATGTTTCCATTATTTAGAGTATAGTTTTACATTCGTTAAAATACCCAATGTACCAAGTTCTTTTGATCATCATGATTTAAGATGAAAATATATCCACCTACGGATACCTGACATTTCCTTTAGTATGCTTCAAAGAAGTGTAACAATTTTATAATGTAGATTATTCATTCTATATTGACATTTTCAAATTGCTTACAAGACATAGTTTACAGAAACTTCAAAGGCAATTTATTTCAGTGTAAGACATACACATGTAGACAGACAAACTGAACTGTTTTTGTAATTATTAGCGTGAAAATTTAACATCATTTATACCTAAATAAAATTTCATTCATAGTATCTACATATTTTGGTATCTCTAGTTTTAAATATAAACTCAGCGTGTAGGCTACGTCCTATGTCTTTGTAAAACTGTCCTTAGTGAAATTTTTCGTAATGAGTCGTTAAAAATGCGTTTAATGGAGATATACAACGGTAGTTACCAGGGTGCTAAGGTTAATCAATAGATATACAGAATGGTCCAAAAAGTAGGCAAAATGCTCATTGCGGCCAAACTGTAAGTATAATCAAAAAATGTTTCAAACAAAACTTGTTCGCTATTTTAATACAAGATAGTCTGTATTATCCAAATTTAATTTATTATACAGGCTGTTTTAAAATAAGAAATAAGATTTCGTTTAAATGACACTCATGTAAAATATGGTTCCAATCAAAATAGATTATACGAAGAAGTTGTTCATAATGTCAAAATATGAGGCTATGCTAAAAATCGCGGCGCTATTCAAACGTAATTTTTGATTCAGTTCAATTGATTTGACTCGAAAAAGTACCCCAATTAATTAGCTGTCAATGATTAAGAAGCCTGGACAGGTTGACTGCTGCGTTATCTTATCGCCCTTCGTTATTGCAAGCGTCAACTGACGAAACACACATACCTCCTCGTGACCTTTGCAACAGCTGCTACGCAGACAAGCCAATTGCACGTATGACGATTAATTAGTAATCTGCATTGGGTAGTCACTGTTCGACTGCTGTTACCATAAGATAAGTTTACTTTGAAAATGTTAAGTGGAAAACAGTGTATTTGCACATAGAATATGCAAACATGGAAGCCACATATGAACGATGCAATGAGAATGCACTAGCGGTATCACACAGGAAGCGCCGAAGGGTGAAAGCCAGCAAAGACGACAGGGCGGTATTAACGAAATCTAACTGATCAAAGTGTATATAGATGCAAAAAGAAATACGCTTTAGAGAACCTCTATGTAAATAACATTATTAAATTTACTTCTATAGTAACGACAGTAAAAAAAAGAATAACACCGTTCAGGTGGTAGTTGCTCAAGTTCTTCGGGATCTTGCAAGTCTATACTGTAATAATTTTCCTCTCATCTAGGACATTTATACTAATTATTGTTGAATTACTATTGGGAATTAGTATTGTTTTGTCGATAATTTATTCAGAATTTAATGAGTCTGCAATAATAGCAAAAGCAAACTGAAGCATTGATTCAATACCCTCACCAATAATTTTAGCCGGAACCTACATAAAATCTCATATTTCTTGATAAAAAGGATATTTGCGATCTCCAATATCCTATATATGTATGTTTACAAAGGTGTTGGGTGCTGGGTGCGATTCGTTTGTCAATAATGGGCTGATACTTGAGTCTAATGTTTCTTTTCACTTTTATCAGTTTTATGTAAGTAGTCTACAACTTCCAACAAAACATTATCTATATTTTTTTCTACACTCAAAAATGATTTTATAAGTTCGTCACCTGAAGATGAAACAGTTAATGTGACAATGTCTGTACCAGTATATACAGACAAAAATCATTGAATCAATCAAAGGTGTTTCTACAGTTGTTTGATTATATTCCATTTTCTTTTCTCCACAACAGCTTTTTTACTGTCTGATATGATTTTTCTTACTTCAACTGCTCTTTCACTTCTCATAAACTGACTTCTTTCTTTTATGTGCACGCATATTTGGCAATATTTGAAATATTGAACATTCCGAACAGCGAAATACATTTGTAATTCTCAGTTCGTATGCTACTACGTTTCGCACAGAATTGTATCTCCCATACTTTACTACATTACTACAAATCAGGTTTTCGTTTAAGCACAACTTACATATGTAGGTACCAATTTATTATAATGTCGAATTCCACCTGTTATTTGGGTGGGATATACTTCCGTACACAGACTATCTCCAAATCGCATGAAAATTTGTATAGGATTTCTTTTTAGTGTGCAGAGCACTATTGCTAATACGAAACTTCCCGTCAAGTGTTCGCCCATTAGAAAAGGTGAACATGAGTACAGAACAGCATTCGTAGTCTAGTGGCATGAATGGTTCTATGACATATCGGTATTATGTGCTTTATTGATGACTGATGGAGTACTTTTTTGTAAGAAAGCATAGGATATACCTAAGTATAAAGTACGTCAATGACATAAAATTTTACTTTTGTCAAAAATTCGACCCTTGCTTTGTTTTGAAATATTAAACTTGAAAGTTGTAAATTACACGTATGATGAGTATATGGTAGAGATATCCGGAAAAAAGCATAGGATGTAGTACCTTTATCGACGCCTACGGCAAAGGCATTGTCTCTGTTACATCCAAAGTCCGACTAAAGCAAGCGTCTCAAAAGGAAGGTACTATTGTTTAAGCGTTTTTCATTTATTTTTTACATTCATTATTCACATTTAAGAAGTTCTGCTCTCATCCCAGTATGCTAGTATTATTGTTAAAACTTTTCATTCATTTTTTACTGCCATTACCCGTCTTTCAAACGTAAGTTGTGTTTTTATTCCAATGGGCTAGTATTGTTTAAGATTTGTTTCCGTCATAACTTCTATTCTAAACATCAAATCCTTAACTGAGATCTTGAAGGATCGCGAATCAACTATAACATGGCTAAAAAAAATGGGTTAATACCAGAAAAAAGATAGTCATAGTAGTTATAGTCATAAAAAGTACATGAGCTCGTAAGTCTACCTACTTGTAATCGGCAGATTTGTATGCCGAAAAGGTAATCATGACTGTTATTAATGTTATCACAGTTGCCAAAAATGCTTAGTTTACAAATTTAAACATCATGGAAGAAACAAATACTTCGAATTTACTGTTTAATTCCCATGCAATTTCCGATTTCAAGCAAACAATGCGCGAATGCAGTATTAGCCACGAAAAGCAAGTATCTTCCGAAACAGTAACCGATCGATTAGCTTCTACAGGGAAGTGTGTATCATTGATTTGGATAACATTTTTGTTAGGAAGGTCAAATAGAAAGCGAGGATGTTGTCGTTGAGATTGACGAATGTAAAAGTCCACGTCGAAAGTAGAAGCGTGTACGAGATATCCATCTGCTAAATGGCCCGTTACAACATATTACCATATTCAATTTAGTTTGCGTACCTTCGTTAAATTATGTATTTTTAATCGTACGACAAAAAAAAATACCGACGAAGAAACGTATAACAACACGTGTAGTAGTTGAAATTTCGGTAAAATAAGTGACCTCTAATGAAGCGGGAAAAAATCTTTTTGGTGTTTCATTCCCACCGGCTACTAACGCTGGTGGGCGGAACGTCCCTCCAGGCTACGCCGGAAAGTAGGACTGAAGACCTTTTTCAGTCTCCTTTTAGGAATCGTAGGAATGGATGGGTGGTGGTTAAGAAATATGAGACGGGCGAAGTGAAGACAGAAGAGAATGAAAGTCTGTGGAATATTACTGCCTCAGCATTTGCCTAGGTGATTCAAGGAAACCACAGAAAAACTTAGACCAAGGTTGACGGACCCGGAATCGCACCTCTAGGCCATGCTGCTCGGTAATGAAGCGGAGTGAAGGTTGTGTTAATGGTGGATTTGGAGTAGTGTTCTACCGAACGAGGATTGACCGACGATGGGGATGGTCGATTAGAAACAGAAGACTGCAAAAAGAAACAGAAGCAATACTGCAATGCCTAAATAAAAAAAAAACTACAGTAAATGTGATCATTAGTTGTTTAGTCGCTTATACTATATAATAAAGTTAAAGAATGGTGCAAACCTCATGGTTACAACCAAATTATTTATGGAAATAATGAGGCCTCCAACGGAAAGAAGAAAATTCATTTATGAAACGGGAACAATTGAACAAGGAAATAGTCGTATAGTTATTGTTGTCAAAAACAACAGGTATTTGTAAATTAAGTTAATTTAGAATTACATTTCTCTTTTATAATTTTATATAATAATAATTTATGGTTCATTATAAAGTTTTCTTTAAGTGTGTTTTTCTTAATTGCCCGGCCTTGGATATATATGACATATATATATACGAAGGATGTTTCCAAAGTTCTAAGATTTAGTTATAATTTTTACTATTTTGTTAATTTTCGTCAATATTACAATACAGTTTTTCAACATAATCTCTATTTAACTGAATACATTTATCCAAACGGTAAACTAATTTTTTTAAGTCGTCCTCAAAAAACTTTATAGGTGTCTCCTCAGTCCACCTAATTATTACGTCAGTTGAACCTTCAAATCGAACACCCCGTAAAAGTTTTTTCAAATCTGGGAACAGATGGTAATCGCTGGGTACAAGATCTGGGGAATAAGCTGGGTGTGGGAGCAATTCCCATCATAAATCATTTAAAACAGCCTGTTGCAATAACGGATGTTTAGGCAATTGTAGTACCTTTCGCCAGATAATCCATAAAAATAATCCCTTCGCAATCCCAGAATACACTAAAATTACCTTTCCGACAGACGGAACTGCACACGCTTTCAGTGGATACCCTTCGTCAGGTTTGCGCCATCCTTAAGATTGACTTTTGGTCTCAGAATTGAAGTAAGGAATCCACATTTCGTCATAACAATTATGCAAGATGTCATAAACTTGTCGTATACCTATTCCAAGGCGCACGCTAATTTGACGAATAGTAATTCGCCTGTTCTCTTTCAGTAGGTCTTCGACAGACTAATGATTCTTTCATTTGCTGACGTGTTTGGTGCTCACTGTGTGGATCGCGATGTTCTAACGATCGATTCACTATAAAACAGTACTTTTAGATTCTGTAGAGTCACCAAATACTCCTTGCAGACCCTGAATAATTTCTGTTGTTTTCACACCTTCTTTCCAAAAAAAAATTATTGCTCTTGGAGATTTTGCTGCGTCTTCCATGGTTACAAAAACAGAGCTATGAAAATGCGTTTATATCAGTCGAACACCTAAGTCAGACTGAACAATATTGCACTAGACAGTTGCATAAACATGTCAAGACTTGTCTGGCACCAATAACGTTGCCTACAAGTTCTGCGTAATTTAATTATAGCACAATTCCTTGAACTTTAGAAACATCCGTTGTATTGTTATAAATGTACCCGCCCCCCTAAAAAGATACATTACATATGCAGTTTTACGCCCCTCAACAAGTACACATCTTCACCTTGTTTAACGGTTATTATTAGTCCACAATTACTTTTACATTTTCACCTAAAATTACACACAATGTTGAAAGCTAATTTCTACAGCAGTGTATGCGTCAGCATTATCTTTTCTGGTAGCTTCGATCATCACAAGCGACATTTCAAACCCAAACTAATCTATAGATATATATTTCCTTTATATGTATTTATCTGACACCTTTTGCTGCTACCATCGGTTCGTAACTTAATTTGTCACTGTCTTATATATATGTAGGTCATCAATATTTTTCCTGCGTGCCTTCCAGACTTGAAGTCTTCCGCCTAGCTTTTAAGTTCATTGACGTAATCGACTGGATATAATGTTCATTACATTTTTAGTGAGAAAACTGAAACAATAAACACATCTAGTGTGGATTAACTCAACACTAATAACAATTACTAAATAGCTACACGTTTTAGACTAATAAAGTAAACTTATTTGAGTGAAACGCGATCAACGAGTAGGATTATGAAATGTGTTAATACTAGGGTCAATTGAAAAGTCCCCGGCCTGACACATAGATGGCGGCACCAGAACTAAATCCATATGATTTTCAGTTAGTCCTAACCTTCAAAAGACGCGTCTATAAATTTGACGGCTGTCGGATCATTAGTTTGTGAATTATAGCATTTTTAGTGAAGCAACTTTTGTTATTGTGAAAAAAATGGATAAAAAGGAATTTCGCGTGTTGATAAAATATTGCTTTTTGAAGGGAAAAAATACAGTTGAAGCAAAAACTTGGCTTGATAACGAATTTCCGGACACTGCCCCAGGAAAATCAACCATCAAGGATTGGTATGCTAAGTTTAGACGTGGTGAAATGAGCACCGAAGACGGTGAACGCAGTGGACGCCCAAAAGAGGCTGTTACGGACGAAAACATTAAAAAAATCCACAAAATGATTTTGAATGACCGTAAATTGAAATTGAATGAAATAGCAGACACTCTACAGATATCAACGGAACGTATACATCACATCATTCACGAATATTTGGGTATGAGAAAGCTCTGTGCAAAGTGGGTGCCGCGCGAGCTCACTTTTGACCAAAAACAACGACGAGTTGATGATTCAGAGCAGTGTTTGAAGATGATCACGCGTAATAAACCCGAGTTTTTGCGTCGATATGTGACAATGGATGAAACATGGCTCCATCATTTCACTCCGAAGTCCAATCGACAGTCATCGGAGTGGACTGCACACGATGAACCCGCTCCAAAGCGTGCAAAAACGCAACAGTCGGCTGGCAAGGTTATGGCGTCTGTATTTTGGGATGCGCGTGGAATAATTTTCATTGACTACCTTGAAAAAGGAAGGACCATCAACAGCGACTATTACATAGCGTTATTGGACCGTTTGAAGGACGAAATCGCCGAGAAACGACCGCATTTGCAGAAAAAGAAAGTCCTGCTTCACCAAGACAATGCACCGTCTCACAAGTCAGTGAAAACGATGGCAAAAATTCATGAATTGGGCTTCGAATTGCTTCCGCATCCACCGTATTCTCCAGATCTGGCCCCCAGCGACTACTTCCTGTTCTCAGATCTCAAAAGAATGCTCGTTGGGAAAAAATTTTCGTCGAATGAAGAGGTGATCGCCGAAACTGAGGCCTATTTTGAAGCAAAGGACAAATCGTACTACAAAAATGGTATCGAAAAGTTGGAGGATCGCTATAATCAGTGTATCACCCTTGAAGGGAATTATGTTGAATAAAAAAAAAGAATTTTGCAAAAAAAAATGTGTTTTACTACTTTAGGCCGGGGACTTTTCAATTGACCTGTTAGAATACATTGAAAATGTAACATTTATAGACTTGTAGCGAGTTCTTTTGTATGCAAACATCAAAGGGTGGCATCGTCATTTGAAAAATACAACGTAGTATAAGAATATTTTCCACAAAAATAATAATTTAATGTAAGTCTAATAAATGTATTTTAACGCTTCTGGGAGGGGGGTGTTATGGTTTATTCAAATGATTTTGAAAGTTCGGTTAGTTGAGAAAAGCTTTCAGAGAAGCAGGTGGCATTTTCAGATAGATCAAACTATGCTTTTCCGCTAGTGCGACATAAAGAGAAGAACAAATGACAACAAAAACATGTATACCTTTCTTATTCGGTGAATGCTTTACCTTCCCGGTATAGTAAGGTGTGTGTTTTTAGAATTAGGTATTAGGTATTTGTTGGTTCGTTAATATTGCCGTTCTGGATCTTGCAGTTTATTAATTTTTTTTTTATGATATTTGATTATTTAAACATTCCAGTGACTCATTTTCTTACTTTATAAATCACTTATTTATTAAAAGAGAGATAAGTTTACACACCTCACTTATGACTTTAAACAATTATAGACTCAAAAAATTATTTCAACTGGACAAGGATGGGTAGATATGGGCACTTCACCGCTGTTTGGTCGAGATACTTCCAAATACATTACAATAGCTCCTGTTCGTGATGGACCTGCAGGGTTTTTTAAGCATGCCGTTTCTGTTAACATTCCAAAAGCAAGAATCCTACCACTAACACATGGAAAATTTGAAGTCACTCGTATTTTAGCGTGGGATCATTTAAATGACGTAATGTAAGTATTCATATAAAAAATGACAGGGTGTTTTTGAAATAAGATACAAGCTTTGAAGGGTGTTAACTCATGATAGTTAAGAATTAAAAGTTTTTATGAAAATTACAAAAAAATACAATCCGAAGCCGGTCCTGGGCATTATTTGGCAACGTGGGTGGTAGTACAACTAAATCTTTATGTATAAATTAGATAAGAACTGAGGAGCTACACATAAGTAGAATGCCGCTTGTCCAACTTCTAAAGTAAACATAAACAACAACTACATACTGCTTGTTACTGTTGTTGGTTCCCGGAATACTATTAAACGCACAGTACATAGGTGCACTACAAAAAATTTTCGAAATTATCATAATCGCGTGATAGAAGAGATGCTTCAAAGCGTCTACCAAAATTATTTCTCATTCGCCCAAAAATATCAGACATTTTTACTGTTGTCTGATGATTGATATGCGCGCTGTTTCATAGAACCCCATTCAAAGAAGTTCCGTGGAATTAGATCCGTGTTACTAAGAAACTAAACATCATCCTATAAGAAGCATCGGCTAAAATCAGTTTCATCCAAGGTTTACATTCGCAACAAATAATAATTTTGCAGTATCTCTTCCTCTAAAATTCGCTGCACTGTAAAATGCATAGAAGTCAAGATTCCAAGATATTTCGCGTACACTACTTTGGGGGCTGTCTTGTATGAAATTAAGGATTTCGTTTTCTACAGCGGCGCTATGGTTCTGACTTCTATTGTCTACATGCAAACTAACCACGTTAGGAGAATAAAGGCTAATACAGGCTGACTGTAACATAAACATCGTCAATCACACAAAATTCTATTCAAACAAATAAAAAGCAATACATAAGCACAAAAATGCAAACGAAACAACAGGGATGCTGCAAATTACCAGCTGACTGAAAAAGGCGTTGTAATGTCGTATTTCCTTGCATGAGTTACCAGGGCTGGACTTACCCTTGTCGCTACTTTCAAATAAGTTTTTCTACAAAATGTCGAACTTCCAGACCACTAAATATTTACTTAATTTTCTTGTTTTATAGTACTCTATCACCTCCTGGAAGCTTGCTATCTATTTCAGAAATGCCCTTTATAAATTGAGATCTACAGATACTTTGAAATTTGTAATTAATAAAAATGATACCGATGTAAATTTAAACCAGATTCTCCTGTATTGTTCTTCAATCTGCAATAGCTTAGTCATGTTGAGTTGTTCCATCACTTACTTAAAAATGCATGTCAAAATCCTGATGTGATAATATAATTTAATTCAACTCAAGTTACAACCATTCAATGTCAAATAGATAACACCAGAAAAGGGAAAATAATATAGAAGTGCAATCGTGGGTTAAAAATCCAGAGTCAATTTCAGCTAATATGTAAGAACTGGGCAGAAGAGTTTCGAAAGCCGGCATACTAGTCTCGCAATGTAGTTTCTTAAACCAACTCAGTTCAGTAAAATTGTATTGATTAGGTACTTGTGTGGTTTGAAATGAACAAAGAGCGACTTGTAGCGTTGTTATTCAATCGTCGAATGAGAAGGAGAAGAAAAAAAATCAACTCATTTGAATCTTGTGCAGAAGACTTATTTGTAGAAAATCTAATGTTTGTGCAAAAACACATTCGTTTACGAAGGCACTAGTTCCAGATGACAGTAAAATTTCTATCGCCTGTACAATTACCATCGGCGGTAAACTAACCGATGTTTTCTTTTCGTTTAATGTGTAAGTTGTAGTGTACAGTGGGTTAGAGTTGGAACCGCGGCGACGATAGTTTCTCTGTTCGGAAAAATAGCCGTGTGTACATTCGTCCGACCACTTACAATTAGTTAGAAAAGCCCGTTACTACTACAGCACCATTTCCTACTTTTTTGCAGTTTTTGATCGTCTATTATACTAGTCTCTCTTCTCTGACAACACTTTTCTTCTGATAATGATTTAGTACATAATAAGTTATATTAACAACGACTATTTTTTATCTTTTGCTCCTGCAAAATTAAAACGCTTTTGAATAAATAATTGTTACATATATACAATTACGATTCATATCTCAAAATTACCATTATTAAAATGTTGATATTTTTAGATAAGCAACGTGTTAACTATAAAGTTGTTCATAAATAAAAAATAAAATCTTGACTATTAAAGAAAAAAAATCAAGGTCAATAAGGGTAGTAATATGTTTTAATTGATTATAGAACCGACACCAACATTTCGCCCCTTATTCAGAGACTTTATCAATGCTAAAATATATAAAGTTAGTATTTAAGTTTTATGGACACTTACTTAGTTAATTAAAAGTTGTTTACAAATAGTTGGTGTTTACAATCGATACATAACAATTAAAATTTTCCAAATGTGAATTTCATAGCGATAGAATAAAAAAACTAATAAACAATCTATCACTGTAGCTCACAATTAGAAGTACCTATAGAGTTTGGATTATCACCGGTAATATAAATATTAATAACTTACAACCTAAACGACGTACATATTCAAGATGTCGGATTTTAAATACTGAAAATTAATAAATAAATAAATTTTGTATTTCAGATACTTTCTTGGAATTCCAGATAATAATCCAGGACAGCAGCATTTATATCGGGCAACTTCTGAGCCACCACGAAAAACAGGAGCGTCTTTACCGCCCCCTTTCTGTATCACCTGTGTCAAAGAGCCTCCTGCTACAACAATGCCATATATCGAATATGGCAAGTATATCAATTCAAAAACTCGCCACGTTGATGATGACTGGCTTTATGATGATCTTACGATAACTACACCTCCAACAAAAAAGAAAAAATCAAAAACAGATCCAAGTGAAACTGCGCCTCCTCCATGTTTATACCACAATGTAATATTTAGTCCGGGTGCTACATACTTTGTGATAGAATGCTTAGGCCCAAACGTACCTAACAGTAAATTATACAAAACAAGCATTCCGAAACCCAAGTTATTATTGACGCTACAGGATAATTCTCAATTAGTAAAACGAATTTCCAAAATGGCTCAGCCACAAATTAAAACCTTTCCCGTTCAAATATCTGGTGGTTATCAAGCACATGTTCGACTGTTTTTACCACCAGGACTTCGTGAAGATGAAATAACAAGGTACCCCTTAGTGGTTCAGGTGTATGGGGGTCCAGGGAGTCAATTAGTAACCGAACGTTGGCGAGTAGATTGGAATACGTATTTGGCAGGAAATAAAGATTTTATTATTGCTCAAATTGATGGAAGAGGGTCAGGTGGACAGGGGCAGCAATTATTACATAAAGTGTATTACAAATTGGGAACCATTGAAGTATCTGATCAGCTAGAAGTAACAGAGTAAGTAATCCCGTTTTAAAATTTCCTATGCAGCAATGTGTTTGAAGTTAATTAGCGATTGATTGCAGATATTTAAGAGATACCCTTCATTTTATTGATAAGAAACGTGTTGCTGTTTGGGGATGGAGTTATGGAGGTTTCGTTGCTGCACTTGCATTAGCCAATCCAAAAAATGTTTTCCAGTGTGCAATTGCTGTTTCACCCGTTACCAATTGGAAACTTTACGGTACTATTTTTTTCTGGTATCTTTATATGAATTTACTGAAATTATAAAAATAGCATTTTGCAACACAACCCATAGAAAGTTTGATCTGTACTAATTTTTGTGTTTTGTAGATTCTGCGTACACGGAGAGATACATGGGTCTTCCAAATGTGACAGACAATTACAAAGGCTACGATGAGGCAGACGTTAGCAAGAAAGCGAGACTCTTAAAAGATAAAATGTTTTTTCTCATTCATGGAACTGCAGATGATAATGTTCACTTGCAGCAGTCGATGACTTTGATAAAGGCTCTGTCATCTTCAGGGACATTGTTTAGGCAATTGGTACTTATTATCTCTAAGTTCATATTTCAACACAACAAACATAACTAAACAAACTTATTGGGAAAGATATTTTATATCTACTTCACTTCTTCTCACTTTCTTCCAACATAAAAATAGTTGTTGCGTCTTTCAAAAAAAATAATGCATACACAAGTTGAAACATTTTAACGAATCGACGGAAATGCGATTCAGACAAAACTTGTTGCCCCTGTATTAGTGACTCTCTAGGTCAGTTAAATGTTAATTTATTTATATATAATATAATATATACATTGGATACTTTATAGCAGTACGTGTTATTGCGTAAAAATATTTTTAACTTTCACAGTCTTCCACCGCTTGGTTTGTTATTTCATTTTGTTTAAAAATTCAAGGGAGTACAATTGCTCATTTGCTCTCATTAGAAAGACGTCATCCATAAAGGGTATGTAATTAATAGAAGAGTCTAATTAATCCGGACGGATCTTGTGGAAATTAATCGATTAGGAGATTCTACAGAACTATCTCGTGAGATATTACTGAATAAAAAGACTTTTTTCCGTCACTTGAGAATTTATAAAAAAGTAAATGCAAGGTGATCAGTTTCTCTCAGAGTTCATAATCTGTGAACTTAATATATTTATGTATACATACAATATTAATTCATAAGTACTAATGGATCGTATTAAAAGTTAAAACCTAACATCTGTCAATTTTTTTCTTAAAGATCTACCCAGATGAAGGTCATGGTTTAAGTGGAGTGAAAAAGCACTTGTACCGAAGTATGGATCAATTCCTTGACGATTGTTTTAAAAAGCAGGTGCCTACAGATTTTAACACTGGTTTACGGAACGACATGGAATAGTATACTTGGTATCTTTAATATCACTAACATTCATTCATCATTCCTTCACTCCTTTAAGTTGGCGTGATTTGATTATACATTTTAAAAAAGTGGTTTAAATGCCACTCAACAATGCGGAAATATTCTAAATGAAGAAAGGAAGTAAGCTGAAGACGTTAAGGAATTCAGTATTTAAATGTACGCGTTGAAAAAGTCACGCAACAGAACTTATTTTCCTGACAATCTGCAAGTGCACGCAAAATAGCTAATTTTTATTTTAAGAAAATAATATAACTAATTAATAATAATTTATACCTACCTACTGCAAAACATGTAACACTTGCATTAATCAGTACCTTGAAAATAGGTTAAGAGGTATTAATCTAATAGCAAATTTCGAAAAAATTTTTGCTAATCTTATGTCACCTTGCCATTTTAATGGTAGATATAAATCTACATACCATTAAAATCAGTATGGTACATATTTGACGTTGTTAACTTAAAGCGTAAAACTGTTTGTAGGTGAGACCACTTCACCTCACCTCACCTCATCTAATATCACATCACCTCACCTCACTTCACCTCACCTCACCTCACCTCACTTCACCTGACCTCACCTCACCTCACCTCACCTCACCTCACCTCACCTCACCTCACCTCACCTCACATCACATCACATCACATCACATCACATCGCCTCACCTCACTTCACCTTACTTTACATAATCTAATCTTAACCAACCTAACACACAGAGGGTCAATCAAGTAAAAGAATTAAGCCGGGAATAAAATAGTACGTAACTTTATTTAACAACTAAAGAACAGGGCAGTTTAAATTTTAAAGATTTTTCTGGCATCCATTTTGCATTGGCTATTTTCAATCAGTCATAAAATGTTTTAGGTAGTTCCAAGTCAAAACATTATAACTAACATTCTTTCTTTTATAGATGCTCCCCGACTTTTATACCATTGTTATTCGAAAACACTTCTATTACTATATTGAAGGTTGCATTAGTTTCTTTTCCGATATCCAATTGTTCACTTCTGCCTTCAGTGTCTCCGCGTCTCCATGCTCACTCACAAACAGTATTTTGCTGCTGTGCAAGGTCGTCCTCAATCTCTCCCCTTCTGACCGAAATTCTCATCATCTGCACAATTACCTATCATTATTATTTTTTATTTCAACTTTTTATAATTAAGTTAAACTAACAATTTCTACATTTTTCGTATGTATGTTTCACTCCTTAACTGTAGAATGTTGAAGGAACATTTTCACGCAACTTAAATCAGTTGCTCAGTCTTTTCATATTAGTAAATATAAATTTTATCAATTTTAATATAAAAATATAAGAAAACTGATATCGAACTGAAATCATAAATAATTTATAATAGTGAGAATCAAATTCTACACACTTTATACCCGTTTTTAGTTGTATTTCTTCGTACATTTTTATGAATACGTAAATCAACATACTGAAATCACCATTAAGAAGTTAAGTAATATCATTTTAGGTCATCAAGTGAAGAAGTAGTTTCAGTTTGTAAGTATCGTAATAAAAAGTCAGCCATGTAAGTACATAAACGTTATGTCTATCTCGGTTAAATCGACTTTGTAATTAAATGGTGGACTGCTTGAACTGAATTTATTCTATATTTTATTCAAATTGATTCACACAAAATGGAATTAAAAAAAAAACGAGTAGGAAAATGCGTTAATTAATTAAAATTGTTGCAATCGTTTTTTTGTCGTGTTGCCAAAATATTGTGACGTTGATCTAATGTTTTATTCCTCAAAAAGCACCCTCTAGTGGGCTATCGAGTGATTTAAGTGCCAAAATATAAATAAACAATCCCGTGAAAATATTTACAATTGGTGTGTATTTAATTAACAAGTAGAATACTACGTTATCTTTAATCTTGTGATAGTAATGAAGGAGTAGAAAGAGTATAAATAATTCTTTCGGTAGTAAACAAACCTTAATTATCGTTAACATTTTTAATTATTATACATGATATAGTTAGTTCTCTTTAATTAGAAAATAGTAGGTACATGAGGCGTAATATTTTCCATAGAATAAATTTAATTTCTCAAAAGTTTACTGAAAGTTGTTATTAAGTAATAATTGATAGTTTAACTGTAGATACATGGGTTATATGTATATGCTTAAAAAGTTCTTCCTTATCTTCATTACCTGTATCCTTTTATTACCAAATAATTCTAAACTGGGTGTAAATAATCTGCCCTGCCGTTTTATTATTTAGTATGTAACTTTTGCTTTCACATTAAATATGAGCAATTTACTTCACTTCAATTACGTATTTATATATCAATTGAAACATTTTATGCGTGTTTAAGTAGATCTTAAAAGTAATTAATCGTTATAGCTTATTTGTCTTTTTAAAGTGAAAAGCAAATGTTAAAAAAAGCGACTGGCCTTAAAATTTATTTGTGAAATAAAAACGCAGCATCATTATTAACAACAAGACTATTTTAATTGGATATTTTATGTAAGACAATATGAAATCTCCTAATGCGTATAAGTAATGTATAAATCTAATGTTATTGTAAACACAGTCACGTAGCAAGAGATTATGGATAGTAAAATCTTTATTAGGAACAGAAAGTACGGGAGCAATATTACTTGATACTTACGTTAAATGTTTATAGTATTGTAACTTCATTCTCGATGCACACATTGTTTTAAGCGAATATGTTGAAACTTCATTTCATAAAATAAATAAGACATAAGTTTCGAGATAATTGTTTGTTAATTTAGGACGACTGGTTTAACAAAAAAATTAATATGTATCTACATGCAGTTTCGACATATCTGCTTTGAATTATTTACGTTTTGTAAACATTTCCTTAGTTTTCTTAAACTTATAATTCGTAGGTATTCCGTTAAATTAATCAACAGATGTAACTACATAGGTACCGGGTTAATAACGCAACAAATTATTACTTTATTTGATAGCAAGGTGATGGGGTGGAGGAAGCAGGGGGTCATTAATAATAAGTGATAGCCGTGACGTGGAGACGGGAGAGGTGAATGCTATAAAAAAAGATAAATGTCTAGATGACGGGACGATAGCGCGGGCAGGGATGGTAGGGATGGAGAGGTGGTGGTGAAGTGGAGGCGGGGGAGGTGGAGTGCTAAAGATGAAAATTTCTCTTATTACCATACAATGCATTTTTAAGTATCAATTAAGCATTTGACCCCTCCCCCACCCCCTATTCATTCTCTATGTGCTTTACTTCACCCTTACTCTACACAAAATTCCTAATTTATCCTTACATTAAAATAAAAAAAGAAGATTGTTTATCACCCCCTCTAACCCTACGATCACCGTCCGAGCGATCATCCTATCATCTCGACATTTTCTAGTTTTACTTTTGGTCTCTATCTCTCCTGCCTCCACTTCACGCCCCCCACTTTTTATCAATGGAGATGCAGTCCTTTGACCTCTCGCTACCCCCTACTCCCTTCACCCTCCACCCATTACCCTCTTTTCTCGTACTAGTGTTAACCTTTTTCGGAATAAAAGTACGAAAAATAAATTTCATTACGCCTCCAATATTTTTTCATCTGTTACACTAAAACAATTTGCCTATTGCAGATATATATCATCATAGAGTAGCGCAATCCATATTCGGTAAAACTCGCAATATGGCGTAAAGGTAGCTTCTTCAGACAAATAATAGTTGCAATGAAGACTGATGTTTTATTCATCAACTTTTTTGGTCGACAAATGAATCTTCTTTAGCATTCTAAAAAAAGTCCTTCTTTTTTGTAGGAGTATCTTGAAGATGAAGTTCATCTTCCACGATATACTCTGGTTTAAGTCTTTAGATGGATACGGATTTGTTTGAGCCGGGAATGTGAATCCGTTTGAGCTGTAGGGATTGGTTTGAATTAAGATATTTCTGAAGTTCTTTATCGGATTTATGCTAAAAGAAAGCGCTTCCTAATCAACATGTGTTGATAGCTTAGAAATTTTTGAGAGTGTGTCGGCAATAATATTAACTTTCCCAGAAATATGTTGAATTGAGAACTGGCTAATGAAGTTGAGATGCTGTGAGTGTCTAAGGGGAGCGTCGGAGTTCTGGCGGAAAACAAAATTAAGTGGTTCGTTATCCGTAAAAATGATGAAATCATGATTTTAGATAAAATAACTAAAATGCTTGATTGTGCGATAAATTTCGAAAAGTTCTCGGTCGAATGCGCTGTATTTAGTTTCAGCGTTACAGAGTTTGGAAGAAAAAACTACTAAAGGCTTCAAAGTTCCATTATGAAATTGTTGTAACGCAACGCCCAAGTGATGGTCGGAAGCGTCACAAAAAACTGCTAAAGTAGCATTTGGTTGCGGATGGTGCAGGAGAGTAGTCTACACCAATACTTCTTGCTTAAGTTGAATGCCTCGTCGGTTGTGGGGTTCCCCATACTTGTTAAATGTTTGGAAAAGGTGAACTGGCCACTGGGTTGAATTAATGAAGGGAACTGCTGAAGTACATCGTGATATACGGAAGTGGTCGAATTTTATCTGTGACGAAAGTGACGGATTCAGCTATAATGAAACGTCGTGGGAAACATTTTCGTAGGCCTAAACTGAGAGACAGAACAATAGTGCTATAAGTCGCTATGTTGGTGCCGTTAGGTGCTTGTAGCGTGAACGTGGATTTCTGACGTGCCCCAGGTATTAGTGACTTGGGATACACGCAAATGTCAGCAGCGGTGTCGACTAGGAATGTATTGCATGTGATTTATGTGATTTTGTCTGTGCAAATAGGCAACGCTGCGTTGTTGGGACCTCATCTGTCCCCATTAGTAAGCTCCTGGTTGGTTTTCCGATGATTTCCTACGAGGGGGATTGCATTTTCGTGCCTTATCTTGAAATTTGTTGCGGTAATAACATAGGCCACTGGTCCTATTGTTGCTGTTGAAGCGTTTCTGTGATGAAGTACCACGCGAAATTGATCGATATTTTGCCCCCGAGTTTCTCGCCATGTGTCGTCTAATATGGTTTAGGTTCATTTTGGATGGTATTAGACACGAAAGTGTACGTGACTTTAGCTGTAATTATAGATTGCGTTTGGCTCGCCTTCATGATGTAATTAGCGATTTCGGTCACCTCATCCAGCTATTTATTTTTCTAGGTCATGATGACTGTTTGAATGATTTGAGGAAATCGACTCGCCCAAATTTCTCGCAACAGGTTCGTTAATATCAGAAGAAAACTGACTTCTCAGTTAAGATAATGTTCAATAAAAAATTAGTTTATACTGTAACTACTATTTGTCTTAAATCAATAGGTAATAACAAAGTTAAATGAACAGTGTTACATCTAATTTCATGATTTTAAGAATGTTGCATTCTCATGAAATTACTGCGCCTATGTTAGCCCAATTCACCTTAACCGCATACACACATATATTGACGTTATTGTTTCGGTTCGGTCGCATGAAGAAACTACCGCTTTGCGAAATCCCTAACGATTTTGCGAATATTTATTGAATCACGTATTTCTTAGGCGACATGTACCTACCTAAACCTGTGAAATCTGATGATTAGTATAATGGAATACACATTTTCTGTAAA